GGCATCACAATTAGCGTTTTTCGAGCTGCTGCATGTGATTAGCTGAGCTCAGGCACTAGCTAAGGGCGAGTTATTATTTAAAATCCAACTGCGTAGAGGTTTTTTTTTCTTTCATAAATGTATTTTACGTTTGCGCTGCCGCGTAGGCCTTCCGACGTGTTTTCTGGCCGTGACGCGCGTTGTTCGGCACGATGTCCGACGTTTCGCTCCACGAGCCCGGTAGCTTATTTAAGAACTGAATTTCAGTTTCTCTCGTGCACGCGCTGGCAGCTTCTTTACGAATTTCTGAACTGAATTCGGCGTCTGGGTCGACGCTGTCAGCTGAAGAAGAAGTTAATGGATTTGTTTAACCCGGCGAGAGCCCAAGAGGTCAAGATGAGTCTCATTTGTGAGAGATGTTAACTACCTCGCCTGGTATGCAGGGGTCCTCCGCTTTTTTCCCCTCCACGTTTAGAATCAACGTGCGTTCGAGAGTATTTGTCCACTATGAATTCCCACATGATGATAAGCCTCTTCGTTGGGCTATCACTTGTGGCAAGGTCGCTTCTGAAAAAGAGCTATATAGATCAGTGGGGCCTTACCTCGGGGCATTAGTCTGACGGTCGGGGGCGATGATGAATTGAAAAATAAGTCACAAAGAAGAATCAAAATCGGAATATTTATTTATACTGGAGGAATCCGATGAGCTATGAAGCTCTTTTCCACAGAAGCTTTTGGCCCATGAAGGGAAACGTCGGACACCACGCTGCACAACCCGAAACAACATTTGAGAGATGATATGCACAGATATCTTGGCTGCAATTCGATGCAACCTTTACTTTATGAAATAAATGCTACTCGGTAAATATCTGTAAAAAAAGAAAAATAAATTCCCATTAGATTTTCTGAAAGCATTACTTTTTTATATATAAATAACAGAAAACATTGCTAACAAATGCTGTAAGAATCCTAATTGTCCAATAGTCACACAGATCGGTGATATTTATGTATCCAGAGAAGACCCCACGGTAGGATCGTACAATCCCTGGAGCATTTCTCCGGAAAGTATTTCTCAAACAACACCCCCCACAACGTTTTGCCAGCAAATGAACGCAGCTTGCCGACCATCGATGAATCGAGCTCACCGTTGGACCGGACACTGAAATAAGTGGCAAAAATGTTCTGCTCCATGGCACATCATTTCTTTTTTTTACAGGAGATCCCTTTTTGGGGGGAATAATAATACGGACACTTTAATAAGGTGGACCTTTCCCCCCATGTAATGACTTCACCCCTTACAATCACCGACGATCCCTGGACGCTGCAATTAAATAACATTGACATGGTTGCATTTGGGGCTCGATTCCCCTACAGAAATCATGAAACCGGTGGCCGAGACACAGAGAGCACCACACCTTTGACCCCAAATGTAATGATTGCGGAAACACCGCCCGCTAGAACTAAATTAATTTTCTCCGGCCCCCGTGCCGCTCAAAAGGGTAACCCCTCGGTGACTCGCGCAGGATGGAGTAACGGACGATTTCCAGTGAGCGCGGCCTAATCGCACGGGTGTTCCAATTTCTAACAAGAGGGCTGTAATGTGGAAGCCGTAATAGTTCCCCATTACAGCACAAATCAGCGGTGGGTTATGAAAAGGCAGTGATGAATAATACTCGTGGTCTGGCGTTGGCAACCTTTCTATGCACCCCGTACTAAGAGTGAGCTTATTCCTTATTTTCATTTTATTTTGTGCGTGTGCGTATTTGTATTTCTTTCCGGTCAAAAGTAAGCAAGTAGACTCGTGGCCATCTGAAGAAAACGGGCTTTATAGCTCATCGCATTCCTCCAGTATCAATACACATTCTTATTCTCAGATTCACTGTGATTCCTACAGATGCACAGAAATCAGGGTATTCTGTTTATAGAGTTCACCGTGTGATCCTGAGGTTGGACATGGCTGCACTGGTCAATGTCACGTTGTCATAACCGTCCACCTGTCACATCACAGTCCGATGGCGTGGCACTCCCAGATTCACTGTGATTCCTACAGATGCACAGAGATCAGGGTATTCTGTTTATAGAGTGCACCGTGTGATCCTGAGGTTGGACATGGCTGCACTGGTCAATGTCACGTTGTCGTAACCGTCCACCTGTCATCTCACAGTCCGATGGCGTGGCACTCCCAGATTCACTGTGATTCCTACAGATGCACAGAGATCAGGGTGTTCTGTTTATAGAGTTCACCGTGTGATCCTGAGGTTGGACATGGTTGCACAGGTCAATGTCACGTCATAACCGTCCACCTGTCATCTCACAGTCCGATGGTGTGGCACCCCCCTGCCATGGGAATGAGGAAGTTCCATCGATGGCTCAGGGCCTCTGAAGGAGATGGGCCAGTGCCTCTTCCTTTTTCGAGCAGGGCGACGATGTTGACCCCGTTTCTCAAAGGGTCGCGCGAAGTCGTCCGACATTGTGACGAACGCCAGTGGCGGGGACGGAATAATGGGCCATGTGGCCACGTGTTGGGCTCGTGCCAATCAGCAGTTCGTTTCCATGTTGCCAAAACTGACTGGTGCCTTCTCTGGAATGCACGTTCACGTATTCAGCACGTTCGGTTTTAATTATCAAGCAATTTTAGTGAGGATAGCAATCAACTGATGTGTACTCGAATGCTTTTATTCGATTTCAACAATGTGCTTTCACAAATGGGCACGTAATCTGTTTAGCGGGAATATAAAAAGAGCTATTAAGGCGAGGCATGAATGCAACTGATGATAAACATGATGTTTTCTTTTTTTTTTACTAAACTGAAAGCCTGTAGTCCTTTGAAATTAACCGATGGTGCAGATTATTTCGAGCAAGTGTAATGAAGAAAAAAAACCTCATCACGTTTATTTATATAGAAATCTTCAGCGATATTAGTATAATGAAATAAATAACTGCTTATAACGAGGAACAACCCGGTTGGAAAATTAAGTGCCTCCATTGCATTTGTTCTACCACCTCGCGAGAGCTCGCGACGTTTGATGTGATTTACTTTTAAACCGAAGCCTTTCAACCGTAAAAAAAAATATCAAAAGCCTCCACGCGGGGGGGGGGGGGGGGGGGGGGGTGTAGTGTGCGTCGGATAGCGTCTTGTCGCAATTCATTCCGAGTGTCTTTGTCTGAGCAGCGTTGGCAACTTGTTAGTCAAGTGGCTCCACACCATCCCAATTGCGTCGGGGCTGGAGGAGGGGGGGGGGGTAAGCCCCCCTTCCCCCCCCTTCTCCCCCTCCCCACCCCCTGCTGATGGCAACGGTTCAGCCCCCTTCTAATTTCTCTTATAGAATCAAAACAACAACAATAACATCAACTTGAAATACGCAGCGCAGAATTCGCTTACTCGGCCCTCTGATCGCAGACAGTGAACAAGAATCTGAATCTTTATTTCTACTGGGAGGAGTCCGATGAGCTGTGAAGTTCTTTTTCACAGGTGTCCAGTACGACGTCTATGACTTTGAGGCGCGAGGACGAACCACAGGCAACCGCGCGGTCAGCCGGCGCTAGCAACAGTTGCCCAAGCTCTGCGGTCCTCTACATATCCGGGTGTTATCGGCCCAATTCATGACGTTGATATGTGGGCGGAAAACCTGAGCGCCCGGAGAAAGCCCACGCGTGCGTGAGTGGGGGGGGGGGCAACACGTGACGCTCAAGTTTGCACTTTTCGATTCGCAAACTCGAGTTCGTATTGATTTGATCAACAAAGCGCCCGCGGTACTCGGATGGGGACCGCATGCATCAAAATGCAAAGGGTGAGTAACAGCGAAGCGACGGGCATCGGAGACTTTCCTCGTACGCACGGTGCCGGGGGGGGGGTTAAGGAGCCAGGGCGGAGAGTGCGATAGACGAAAGTGGATCCCATCGTTGCTCGTCACGTTCAGCGTTCTCGACATCTTTTTCGGGGGGGGGGTTGTTTCACTTTGACTGTGTCGCACCTCCCCCCCCTGAGTTTGTGTAGCCCCCCCCCCCCATCCACCGACCCCTCCACCGCAACCCCCCCGCTGCCGCCCGCCGCTTTTAAACAAGGTCAAGCTACAATGTACTCGGACTGCAAAATGAAAGGCATCGGAAGCCGCAAGGCTCACAGGCATCCAGGATTGTGAAGGGTCTGTGCACTAAAGTGCTGGGTTTCCTTTCATTACTTTAGTGTAGTTTTCAATGGCAATTCCCCCCCCTATGCCCCTCAGAACCACTCACTAATCGAATATCCCGCCGAACCACACACCAAACGCTGCGGTTTGGTGTGTGGTTCGGTGGGATGGACATCACGTTATCTTATTACTTCCTTTTGTTTTGCCTTAATTGGGTTTGCGGCTCAGATTGGGACTCGCTTGAGATGTGTCGCATCATATCGGACTAGACAACGGGGGAATCGTCACGGGCTGGGTTGGTGCGTCTACCTGTGCGCTGGCCTTTTGTGAGTATGTGGAACTTCTTTTTCACAGTACGTAGCCAACCGTGCTAATCGTTGCGGGGACGAGGAGGTGGGGGGGTCGATGTTTCAGCCGGCCGGTTAGCGCGCAACCAGCAGCGTGGGCGAGCGATGGCGGTTAGTTCATCACCGTCATCATCATCAGTTTAACAAGTAGGCTTTTGCGACCAATATCATCCATAAGAGGTTTTTTGATGGGTGAGATCGCGTAAATATATAAATGTGTCGTTAAACCTGCCACCACCCGACACAGCCAATTATGAAGGTTTGTCACGTAAACAAAACGTGCCAATTCGTTACGAGTACAGCACACCGGTTGTGTGTTGGAGGGCAAAGCCACAACATTTACAATAATCTTGTTGTAATTGTTGTAATTAATCGCGAAACGGCGTACTCAGATTGTAAATGTTGTGGCTTTGCTCTCCAACACACAACCGGTGTGCATGTTTTGTTTACGTGACAAACCTTCCTGATTGGCTGTATCGGGTGGTGGTGGGTTTAACGACACATTTATATATTTACGGGATCTCACCCCAAAAAAAAACCTCTATTACGGATCATCATCTTCATCGCCATGATCCACGAGCAGGTAGCCCGTAAGCGTCCACCGTACATTCCGTCATTCATCGTGCCGTCACGCGAGTAGGCGACTGCACGCTAATCGAGAAGAAGTCGCGCATCACCACGGTCGCTCGGTCTGCTCGGCTGTCTGCTTCACCGCCCCCCCCCCACCCCTTCCGATGGCCGTGCGGCCACCGGGAAAGTGACGGACGCTATTAAGAAAGAAAATAATCTCATGAGGAATTGGAGAGTGCCAAGGGGGTCAGCCGGAGGCGGGCGGACGGGCGGGCGGATGAGCTGGTGGGAGGACGGGCGGGCCGCCGTCGCGACCTGGGCCCTCCGCATGAGCGCACAATTCCCAATTGGTTCCACTTTTTTGTTCCGTGAAATCGGCGTTCTCCGCGAGTCGCCGCTGATTTTATCGCGTGCCGCACGCTTCCTCCTGCCCGTGCCCGGCCACTCGCCGCGGCTACTCACGGGCGCGATCGACGTCGCTGATGCATCTTGGAAATTTCCGGGGGGGGGGGGGGGTGGTGGAGGTGGTACGGAGGATGGAATTAAGACGAGGACATTTTTCCTGCTCCCTGCGCGTTTGACATTCCTTGCCCCCCCCCCCTTTCCCATAAGATATTTATTGAATTCAATAATTCGTTTCAATTTTTCCAATTTCGCACGTGTTGGTGCCGGGTTTTTTGACGAGCGGAGAATCGGGGGAGGGGACCCAATTTAAAGTGTACACCACGAAAGGGCACCCAGGGTGGCATGCGTGGCGTCTACAGCTGACTCGCCACCCTCTCCGGCATGTCGCTACGCGTCGCGCTCTGGCTAACGATGATCGCACCCCTCCCCCCCCCCCCCCGAGCTAAAACGATGACGAGCGGACACCACCAACGGCGATGATGGTCCCCCTCTCATGAACGGGGTTACGGCGGGATGCTCGCTGTCATTTTTGTTGTATCGCACGGTGGCAGCGGGGAGACCCGGTTGAGGTTTCGCACGGCGCGAATACTCCACCACCTCCGCGCCTCCACCGCTCGCGTGCGATGCCCTTTTGTTACGTTGATTTAGCGAGTGGCCTATGTGAAAAGAGGCCAGGAGCAAGTGGCTAAATAAATATACGACGGCTTTACAGGGCCTTGAACTTGCGTGCGCGCGTGATCGTCGTCTCTGTTCTGCTCCCCCCCCCACCCCCCACCCACTCACGATCGATGCGTCGCTGTTTTGCTCCGGTGACCCCAAGATGGAGAGTACGGAGGGGTGATAAGTCGGCGTTGCTTAGGGGGGGGGGGGGGGGTTATAGAAACAAACGTTTCGGCCAAGGAGACTTAATCAGGACTGATCGACCCGAAATGCGATTTTTTAAAAACCTTTTTTTCTTCCTCTGGTGCCTCCAAGGCTCTCCCCCCACCACCCCCCAGAATTAGATTTTTTTTTATAAAACTCGTTTACTCTGAAGATCTCTCCCCCCCCAACCATTGACAAATAAACAAATTATTAAATAACGTGCCTCCTCCTCCCTCCCGCCCACTGACTCCCCCCTTCCACTCATCCCCGCCCAACACTTCTCGTTGCCAGGACTCTGTTTTTCGTGGCAAGTAGCTAAATATAATTGGCAGCCTTTTTTTTACATATATTTCTTTACAAACACGTGGGAGAACCGTCGGGCAATTTTTTTTAACGCCACTTTCATCTCCTCGTTATTACGGGTGAACAAAGTGGCGAACCGGGAGAGGGGGGGGGGAGGGCATCGCGGGAGGCATGGGGAGGGGGGCATCTCTGAAGCTTTGTCACGCACTCCCGTAGTTCGAGTTTCAATTTAGTTCTCTCGCGCGCTCAAATTTTCCCACCCGTCTATTTCTTTACTTATCGAAGGCCCGCGAGAGCGCCGCGCGGTTGCCGCCCTATCCGAGCACGTCGATGTAGATGGGCGACTTGTCCTTGAGCTCCTGGAGGATCCCGTGGATGGTCCGAATGTCCAGCCTCATGTGCGGCTCGCGACACCAGCAGCCCAGCATGAGGTTGTAGACCTCCATGGGACAGGCGCGCGGACGCTCCAGCACCCGGCCGGCCGACACGCACTCGATCACCTGCTCCGTGCCGACACAGCGCATACGCACACACAATGACAAAGATTCCTCTCCACCCCCCCTTCAGAACCTTCACAGACTGTTGGGGACAAGTGCCGTTAGCCGAGTAGCGCCCCATGAAGGCGGCGATGGCGCACGGTCAGGTTGGTGGCCAGCACCACGCCCATCCACCTTTGTTTCCCCGGTGCCGATGTTTACACACTGCCACAGGTATTAATTTGAGGCTGAGTTTGCCTCGTAATCGCCCAGGGCCGGTTCAAATATTCGCCACTTGTATTGGTCATGAGCGGGAATCGAACTCGGGTCATTGGGTTCGTAGCGCTGCGCGATAACCACTGGGTCACCGCTCTCCGCATGCGCGTACGTACACGCACGCACGCACGAGTGAACGACTGTGGCTTTCAAATGGTTGAAGGTGAAGGTATAGCCCTGCAAGTGCTTGCTCACGTCACTGTTGGTAGAAGGGCCTCCACTAGAGGGCGTTCTAGTTAGCCCCCCCCCCCCCTCTGGAGGGTACTTAGGCCTCCTCTTCCACACTGGACAAAGGTGAACCTATTTCTGTCGCCGGGTGAGCGGAGGCGATGGAATTGAAGAAAATTGCACCGTTTCAACTGCTGTGCCGGGCGATTGAACCGGTGAATGTTACACCCTGAACTCGCGGGAGGTCGGATTTGCAATGCAGCTGTCGGACGCGAAGTGACGTGATGATTTTTGTAACAGTTGGGATTCAGTTTGTGCGAGTGTGAATTGAAGGTGAACTTGGCAAACACGCGCGTTATGATTTTCCCCCACACTCGTTGATATTTTTGGGTAATTTTCTCTGGCGAAATCGCCTCGAGCGCGTGACGCCTGTTCTATAGATCTCAGAAGTTGAGCACAGTTGAGCCTGGTTAATGCCAATATGTTAAACTTCCTCGGAATGTCAATTGCGTTGTTGGCCTGAGCTATCAGTCGGACCAGAAGACAGTGGCACGACCGCAAAGGATTGTTGGATATATCTGTATGAATTCTAACTGTGTGGAGACTTAGCCTCTCATATGCATAGTGGGGTTTTCTCCGGTTGTACCTTTACGTGTCAAATTTCCATTAATATGTTTAAAGGAAAAATCGAGATTTAAAACTCATATCTTTAGAGCAGTTTTTTGAGTTTGGTTTGTTGTACTTCTCCCACGCCTCCGATTAACACGGTCATCTACGTACAGTGCGAAAGAAGTTCAACATACATACGTTTGGCAAACTATACATTTAACTAAATTCTTTTTATTTTACCAGAGAAGGCCGACTGAACTATGTAGCTCTTTTTCAGATGCGACCTGGCCACAAATGATAGCTCAACGAAGTGGCTTATCATGTGGAAATTTATAGCAGCCAAATACTCTAAACACACGTTGTTTCTAAATGTGGAGGGAAAACTGGAGGATTCGGAGAAAATTTCACGCGATAACGGGGAGAACATGCAAATTCTAAATATCCAGCAAGCGTCAGGGTCGAGATTGAACCCACGATCTGCTGTATACCGGGCGAGGTAGTTAACATCTCGCCACCATGGCGCTGATGAAGGCCGGACCCTCCTGAGAGATAGTTTTGAGACTCGCTGAGGTTTCCCTGCATAAATGGCATTTATTATTGTTATTATTGCTGTGGGAAAGCAATTGTTAGGTTCATGCCGGCATGATGAATCTCTTTATAAAAGTGGAACATTCAGATCCCCCTACGCGTCTCTTTTGAACTCGGCTCTACTCAAGACACACCCTGGCATTGATCCCATTTACGGCGTAATGCAGGGGTTTCAATTTCCCAACATTTTTGCAAAAGCCTGCCGCTGAGATGAGAATGATTGATCTGCACAGTAGGGACACGCGGAGAATTTCACTCGGGTTTTTCGAGAGCATTTTGGGCACCTTGAATGCATCCGATGGGCTGCACCATTGAACTGATCTCGAGTATTATTATCTCCACCATAGTGGGCTTTATTGGTTCGGAAACCGCTCATGATGGTAAAAAAAAGTAATAAAACTTGTCCTTCAGCGACGCGCACCCTCTAGACACCTCCAAGGTTGCTTCCTGTATGCCACGGGCTATTAAGGGATGTAATACCAGTCAACTTTGTCTCAATTCTCAGCCATATTACCCAGCCTGCCCCCCCCCTCACATTGTTCTACCTGTCGGCTCCCCTGATTTATTTGAGCGGTGGGCCACAGAAACCACGCCCGTGCCTTCTATGCCTTAAATGTGAATTCCCCGGTGGAGCAGATCCGTCCGAACGCGCGCAACGTGACGGATGGTGACGTGTACATCTTTCGAGGGAGGCAGATACTGACCGAACTGCCACTCGGTCATTGTAATAGCCGGGGCATTTAACACGCTATCACACCGGGGACAAAGACAAAGGTCCCTTGTTCAGCCATCTTCCCCTTGTCTTACCTTCATTTTTCCCACAATGAGGCGGTTCAATTCCTAGGATATTTCGTGCATAGTGTACGCGTCGAAACACTTCGTACGAGCGTAAAGGTGCTTCGGTTGTTTGCGACCAATCAGAAGCAGGTTTTACCTGCTCTCAGTCGACTGGAGTGTCACAATCCACTGGCCAGTGTTCACTGGCGATCGGGATTCTATATTTTTAAGTGTTTAGAACGAGGCTTAAATAAATTAGAGAATGTGGGCCAGCAATAGCTTGTGAGTAAAATCCATCAACATCCGTTTTTGATGATTGGGGACCTATTTTACAACATTTTGTTTTGAAATTCTCCTCGTTAGAAACGAACGTTTGGCCGTACGCGTGCCAAAATGTTTAGCTCTGGAGCCCTTCTGGAAAATAATTGAGAAACGTTCATCGCTCAAGTCGCTCACTCGGTCGGCCAGTCGCGATCGTCCTCGCCGTGCGTTACAAGAGGCAAGCATTAACGTGCACAGAGACGTGTGTACACACATTGCCACTGGAGCCAGCACACACAACAAAAAACCTTTACAGATTCCATACCGCTATAAGCCCCTGACACGCACACTCAATCAGCTTTTGCCCCAACTCCTTTAAGGAGGGGCCGAGGTGTTCCATTATCCTGGGCATCACTCACGCTGCTGTGGTCACTCACCCGTACACGCCCCCCATTCCCCCATGCCCCCCCCCCCACTTCCCAACCCCCACACCCCCCCGCCTTCACCAAAATAGCCTCTCCTGCAAGACCGACCCACCAGCTCGTGAAACGCACTACCACTCTCTAAGCACGCGTGTGCTGCGTTCCTATGCCGACGCTGCACTGAAAGTCAGGCCAGCCGAGGCTGGGTTGTAAACCCAGGCGAATGATGCTCGTTGAAGATTTTGTTTTACTTGGAGCGGTGGCACCCCAGCAAGCTGTGGCAAGGAGGCACGCCTCACTCTTTCAGTGGGCCGGGTAGGTCGCTTATGAAACGCAGCGTGGTGCTCTTAACTCTTTCCCCATTCCGATGAGGTTGCAGGGTACGTGAGTGTCCTGTTCGCCGCCGAATCTCGGAACGTGCGAGCGGTTCGGCGCTAATTTTATTGGGAAAAGCGTAGCGGTAGCGCCGTAATTTTTAAAGACATTGTGCTCACCCGCAGAGAACTGTAGCGACACGACCACCGCACTCTACGACAGCTGGCGCCAAACTGTGCCACATGCCCTCCCGCATGGCTTTGTGTGGGAGCCTCGGTACCGATAAAGTTATTTTATTTTCGTTTTACTTCCGGTTGCATTCCGATGACGTACGCGTAGGCACACGCACGTCATCGGAACAAAATCGGAAGAAAAACCGATGACGTAAATGGAACGGGTTAAGCCGTGCCGCCCTCCGAAGTGGTGGCGGTGGGCCGGTGGTCACCTGTGACCGCTTACATTTTAAATGTCTCCTGTCGCACCTCGGATTTCAATGGCGGCAACAAATGACAAGCCGCCCTTGAAACAAAACAAAAATTGCAGACTTTTGTCAGTGCGCTGCTGGATGAATGCATTGCCGGGCAGTGTCAGTCATGCGGAGTCGTTTGACCATACTTCACCGCTGTGGTCAGTGCCGGTTGGTGAAGGGTGACAAAGCAGCAGGTTCGTGTACCTTCACTATGAAACCCGAGTTTGATTCCCGACCGTGGCTGACGTCAGTGGTGAGCGGATATCCGAGCCGCTCCTGGGCGTGACCCCTTCAACCAACCCACATTCGATGAGCCTCGTGAAGTGTGGTCATACAACCTCGTGAAGTGTGGTCACTCGACCTCGTGAAGTGTGGCCACTCGACCTCGTGAAGCGTCGCCACACGACATCGTGATGGCCACACAACCTCGTGAACTGTTGTCACACAACCTCGTGAACTGTGGCCACTCGACCTCGTGACGTGTGGTCACTCGACCTCGTGACGTGTGGCCACTCGACCTCGTGAAGTGTGGTCACTCGACCTCGTGACGTGTGGTCACTCGACCTCGTGACGTGTGGCCACTCGACCTCGTGAAGTGTGGTCACACGACCTCGTGACGTCTGGTCACTCGACCTCGTGACGTGTGGCCACACAACCTCGTGAAGTGTGGTCACACGACCTCGTGATGGCCACACGACCTCGTGAAGTGTGGTCACACGACCTCGTGACGTGTGGCCACTCAACCTCGTGACGTGTGGCCACTCAACCTCGTGACGTGTGGCCACACCACCTCGTGACGTGTGGTCACACAACCTCGTGACGTGTGGTCACACGACCTCGTGACGTGTGGCCACTCGACCTCGTGACGTGTGGCCACTCGACCTCGTGACGTGTGGCCACTCGACCTCGTGAAGTGTGGCCACTCGACCTCGTGACGTGTGGCCACTCGACCTCGTGACGTGTGGCCACTCGACCTCGTGAAGTGTGGCCACTCGACCTCGTGAAGTGTGGCCACACAACCTCGTGAAGTGTGGCCACACGACCACGTGACGTGTGGCCACACGACCACGTGACGTGTGGCCACTCGACCTCGTGACGTGTGGCCACTCGACCTCGTGACGTGTGGCCACACAGCCTCG